TTAGGCTTTTTAGCCTGACCTACTGTTGTTTGTGCCTGCTCCGGCTTCCGCTTGGTGCGGAAGTCTAACTCCATCTCCCGCTCACAGGCCTTCTCCACCATCTCATTCAGGGTTTTGCACCTTGTAAAGCTCACAAACTCCCAGATATCATCCCTCAGCATGGAATTATACCTCGTCCACCTCATATCCTCGTCTGTAACATACTGTGGGATCGACAATGGTCATTCCCGAAACTTGGCGGTGATCTCCGCCACAGTCTCGGTGGTCTGCTGGAGGTCATGAAACTCCCTCACTAGTCGTTGCACCTTAATAGGTGGTGCAAAATCCAAATCAAACCGCCTGAAAAACTCAGCCCACGTCATCTCAGCCACACCGGCTGCCCCCACCTGGCTAGTCACCTCTCCCCACCAGTGTCGGGCTCGATCTCTCAGCATAGATGAAGCAAAACAGACCTTTGCCGCATCAGGGAAAGAACTAGTGCGCTGGGCATTCTTTACGTCCGCCACCCAGCGTCGGCTAACTATGGGATCCCTGACCCCAAAGAACTCCGGTGCCCCACACGCCTTGAACTCCCAGAATGAGGGAGTTCGGGCCCCGACCTGGCCCGCAACAATCTCGGCTCTGAATGCCCTCAGCCTCTCCTCCATGATGTCCATCAAACCCTCCTTGACCGTCCCAAAAATCATTGGGGTAGCATCAAGGATGCCCCTCATCACCTCGGCTGCAATGAGCTCGCACAGGCTCTCATCAATAGGCTCGGTACCGCCACCCGACCCGGATCCAGATCCCGATCCTGATCCCCCTGCTCCCAATCGTGTCACCACCATGTTGAACTGAAATATCACGTAACGTAATGATTAGGATGTCCAAAAAGGGGATCCTCCCACACCGGTCCTCCTTAGAGCATCCCGATCTAACATTGGTTCGGGTACAGGTCCTATTCTTCCAGTAGTACAGGCCCAATACTACCTTCCACACCTACTTGTACCTTCCCCAAGGCTCTACCTGATAACTCCAATTCGTCCCAGAACAAAACATATTCCACAAGCTACAACATCACTCAAATCCTAGGTTATCCTAAGTCCACATCGAACTAATCATAACAGGTTGCCTTTATGCATGCAAATTATACACAGAAAATGATCAAATAGACTTTCGAATAATAGATTCTACCCTAGGACCACAACCAGACAAGGAACAGGAAATAAGGCCAAATCAATCATTCTAAGGCTATAAGCTCCTAACCGTATATAATTTTAAAAGCTATGAGCTCCTAAGTAACTCGTCGAGTTCTTAAATGTCCAAAAGACCAAAAACTCATTCAGACCAAGAACTCCAATCCATCACTGATCTCACTCAGAATCTCGAAAATGGGTAAACCCTATTCGACTCGTTGAGTTGGCTAAGCAACTCGTCGAGTCCCTTTAGCCTTTTTTGTGTTCAGTCCTTTCCAGTGGGATCCAAGGTCCCAAACTTCATATCCAACTTCTCCTAGTGTAGTTACCACGTAAAGTTGCAAACTTTACGTGCATGCAAGGCCTCACAAGGCTAAAACACCAAAACTAAGATTCCTACAAGGTTTTAGTGCATGGAAAGGGCCTAAGTTGGATAAAGTAAGCAACTTTATGTCATTGAAGACCTAGAGATGTCCAGATCTGGAACCATATCCTTGTGACAAGTCCAAATCTGAGTATGACACCCTTTTTGGCACCAAAAGTGACCATTTACTTCCAAGAAAAGAGATCTAAGCAACTAAAGGTCAAGAGAGTGACTTTATACCTCAATATGATCGCCAATATAGAGTAGATGTTGGATCTACTGCTTCCTTCTTTGCTCCTTCTTCTTCAAGCTCCAAAATCTTCACAACCACACCAAAAATCACTCTCAAAAGCTCTCTCTCTCTCCCACTCAAGAAGGTGGAAGGCTCAAACTAGGGTTTCTCTAGGCTGTAAGAACGATGTAAGAGGCTGCAAATGAGCCATAAGTTCTTTAAATAGGGTACAAACCCCTGAAAATTAGGGTTTCCCTTTATAGTGCCTACTCGTTGAGTCGGGGCCTTCCGACTCGTCGAGTAGATCCGAACTCCCGCGTCCTCATAAATGATCTCTACTCCACGAGTTGGAGCTCCCCAACTCGTCGAGTCCTAGCACAAAACCCTAAAAATTTAGAAAATTAAATAATACCTATAACAGGTGTTACTTCAGGTGTTCCAACATCTTGAATTTTAACCATAACTACTATAACGGGTTTACTGGCTTGAAAACACTAGAACCAATACTCTAATATTGGCAACGAACTCATAGTAAGGTTTGCTTATCTTCCAGCCTACTAGATCATAATGAACATTTGGTCTCCTAATAGCTCTCTCGCAAGGCTTTAACTACATTACCTATATCGATGTACAACTATTGTTTGAGCAATTTGTTCATGATACGCCGTGACAATTATCCAACTACTGGGATTATGATGCCAGATCGCTCTTGTCATCATCCCCCTTGGGCCTGAAGACTCACAATCAACCCTTCGGTGGTCTTAAAGACTCATAACCATTATCCGAATGTCCTAAAGGAACCTAATCGTCTTTATTCCTTGATATCTACTTATCACAACAGATCATTTCTTTAAATATTTGAGGCTATAACTAATTAGAGGTCCTTAATCTACATTGTACGGGTGATAAAGTCTAACTGTCTTCCTATGCCAACCTATGAACGTTGAAATTTGATCCTAGTTTTCTATTAATTATTACATTTATCGACTAAAGGAATAACTAAACTAAACACATAGTCTATCATGATGCCTAAAGTAACATTGAAGTATTATCATATGCTTAATGGTCATAGTCCCTTTCGAATGGTCTCCTTCTATGGGTTTCTAATCGTACTTACAAAAACACTCTCTCCCTTGACGTTGATCCTACTGGTAAAATCCTTTAGTATGGGTTAACTAAATCCTTTACTATGGTTGAAATCAAAGACTTATGTCTGGTGTATGTCTAGAGTACTTGATGATCTCTATGGAAAACCACGCTGCCTATTGTGTTCCTGGTCCTCTGTTGCAAGGATATATTCTTCATCCGTGAAGGTACGAACCTAGATGGTTCTCTTGGCTATATGAGTCGTATCTTGGAGTTTTCCAATTCCAAAATCCTATCAGACGCATGGAAGGAAATACCAACCTTTCCTCAATAAACTCATGGCTTATGGGTAATCTAACTAAAGACTTATTTCTTCTGTTAATCGCACAACAAAGTCGAAACTAACAACCTCCGCATTTTCGTGCTGCAACTCTCCTGTGTAACACCCATAAAAATCATGTCAAATTAAAACTTTTTAAAACATTTAAAACCCGATAATTATCACAAAATTGTTTTCAAAATGGTTCCATGTCAAAGTATCCCATAATCAAATCATAAAAGCATAAGGAGGTGCACGATCACGCCTTCGCCTTCCCGCGATCATCAGAAGTACCTAAAACATAATCAACAACTGTAATCCTGAAGCTTAGTGAGTTCCCCCAAAATACCAACGCCATACAACCATATCAATATCATATAAACAAACAGCATGCATAATGAGCCATCAGCCTAACTGGACCGCCTTGCAGGGCCATCAGTCTATCTGGACCACTCTCCGAGCCATCGGCACATCTGGACTGCCTCTCAGGGCCTTTAGCCTATCCGGACCGCTCGCCGAGCCTTCGGCCTGACTAATTCTCACCGACTATGTATCAAGACACCGAGGATATCATTTATAAGTGTGAGAAGTGTCAGAAAGATGCACCAATACCAAAGAGAGCTGTAACACCAATGATTATCATCAGCAGCCCATGACCATTCGTGTAATGGGTCATTGACATAGCAGGATCATTCCCAGAAGCACCGGGTAAAATAAAATTCTTACTAGTAGCAATAGACTACTTTACAAAATGGGTAGAGGTTGAGTCGCTAGCAACAATAACCGGGCACAATATTATCAAGTTCTTTTGGAAACAATTTATATGTCGATTCGGAATACCGCACACACTCATCTCTGATAACGGGACTCAGTTTGCAAACAATCCATTTCGGGAGTGGTGCGAGGATCTTCGAATCAACCAAAAGTTCACATTTGTAGATCATCCGGAAGCAAACGGCCAAACAAAGTCACTAATAGGACAATAGTCCATGGCTTAACAACACGATTAGATGTGGCAAAGGGATGATGGGAGAAGGAATTACCTAACGTATTATGGGCATATAGAACAATGCCGCGAACAGCAGCGAAATAGACACTTTTTAGTTTAATGTATGGGTCAGAAGCAATCATACCATTGGAATTAATGGTTCTCACCGAACGAACTATAATCTTCGATCAGACCAATAATGACAACGAATATGGAAAGGAGGGAAATAGCAGCAATATGGTAAGAGCGTTACAAAAAGCAGACCAAAATCCACTACAACCAACATGTCAAGGGTAGATCACTACAACCAGCATGTCAAGGATAGATCTTTCAAGGTAGGAGAACAAGTTTTAAGAAACAACGAAGCATGCCGACAAGAACCACAAGGGAAGCTAAGAGCCTTGTGGGGAAGGTCCATATAAAATATATGAAGCAAATAGGGACAAATCATACATCCTACAGAGAATGGACGGGGAAATGGTGTCAAGGGGTTTGGTCGCGGGGCGGTGGTTAGTAATGGTTGACCGTGACTTTTTGATCAGTTTGACTTTTAGTCAAACTTTAGCATGATACCTCTCCATAACCTCATGGTCCCGGTCCCTTTGGGCCCTCATCCTCTGCTTCTACCTGGCCAGCTGGGTATTGTTTCCCTCAACAACGTTCACTTTACCACTTATAGTTTTGAACTGGTGGCCAAGTTGAATAGTGCGGTCGAACATGAGTGATAATGCTTCCATATCTGTAGGGGTTGAGGGTTTTATCCCCGAGGACTACCCTACTTTGTACATATGCCTATCTCCTTGCTCCCTTATCAATTTTTTTACTACATTGGTGATCTATGTAGGGTCGTCAGTCCTTCTCTGTAGGACATCATGGCTAACTCCGGGTGGGTTGTTCTGCACCAGCTCATTAGGAAAAGGATCATACTGGCCAAGGTTTCTTGCGATCCTATGCAGCCTAGGAAGCTGGGTATGGGGCTTCTTCTTGACTCCACCACATACTGGGATAGATTCGTTTGCAGTCTTCCGAGCGTGAGGTATCCCGGAAACAAGTCGGTATGAAAGAGGTGGCGGTGATGCAACAGGTTCCTCCTCATCCATGGGGTTCACGTTGGCTACTGATTCGTGTGCCTCCGTCTGCATATCCTCTTCGGGTTCCTGCTCCAATTCCTCTTCCAGATCCTTCTCCAGTTCGCTTCTATGATAGGTATTGGCACTTCGTCAAACTGTGGGACTAGGTGGTGTCATGTCTTTCCTACCAGGTAATAGGGATCCCCCAATAAATGGAAGTTGTCAGATCTAACATTGGTTCGGGTACAGCTCCTGTGCTTTCAGTAGTATGGGCCCAATACTACCTTCCACACCTACATGTACCTTTCCCCAATGCTCTACCTGATAACTCCAATTCGTCCCAAAACCAAACCATATCCCACAAACCACCGCATACATCAATCTCAGGCGGTCCTAAGATTTGCTCTACTTATATCAATCAGACCAATCATAACAGGTTGCCTTTATGCATGCAAATTATACACAGAAAAGGATCAAATAGACTTTCGAATAAAAGATTCTACCCTAGGACCACAACCAGAAAAGGAACAGGAAATAAGGCCAAATCAATCATTCTAAGGCTATAAGCTCCTAACCGTATATAATTTTAAAAGCATACACATAGCAAGTTCCATACGACCATCAAAGCTCAAATATCATAATAACATGGCTAGCACATTGGGGAACTACTTACTTGGCTCGGCTGATCACGTGCGTTGCACTCTCATCTTTTCCTTTCTTTCAACAACTTTTTATGTCATTTTTGAAAACAATTTTACCATTTCCTTAGTTTAAGTCCTGACACACCCGAGAGTATGCCCGAATCCCTCAAACCAAGGCTCTGATACCAACTTGTAACGACCCAATTTTCAGAGTAAATTTTTCATTTTTAAAATGTTTGTGAGAGTACACGTCGTGCCATCACGCCTTGCCCTTGCCCTTGGAATCTAAAGTACCTGAAACCATAAACAAACATGTAAGCACGAAGCTTAGTGAGTTCCCCAGAACATACCCCACACACAAACCAAATAACATGTAAGTTATAAAAGCTACCTCTACCTCATAACACATATCAATTAGCTATAAAGCTACCTCTACCATATAATGCATATCAATTAGCTATAAAGCTACCTCTACCACATAATGCATATCAATTGACCATAAAGCTATCTCTACCATTAGCCACAAAGGCTATCTCTACCCTTAGCCATACAGGCTATCTCTACCTTTAGCCCTGAAGGTTATCTCTACCACTAGCCCTGAGGGCTATCTCTACCATTAGCCCTGTAGGCTATCTCTACCACATATCAATGCATAACAATGCCACACACATCTACACAGCAAGTATACCAACTATCATAAAATGGGCCGGCCTTGGTGCCTTAGACCCATTGGTATGGTGAGAAGACTCACCTCGAATGTAGAAGCTTCCTGAAGAAATCCTTAGCTGCTGCCCCGCCCACTTCCTGAACCATCAATACCGATCAATATACACAATTAGAAACTGGGTCCCATACCATAATTTTTAGTCCATGCATGGGAGTAAAATGACCATTTTACCCCTGGCCCAGTATGATCCAAAACTAAGGCCCAAATCTCGAAACAAAACCCAACACTAGGTAGGCTTTCCAAGCCCACTAGTGGTCCACTAATGGCCCAATTTTCTCAATTGGCCCCAATCCCTCTAATAGGCCTTACCCTAAGCCCAAACACATTCCTGGCCCAAAACATCTGACTCTTGATGGCCCACTAAGGCCCAAATACCCAAAGTCCACTGCTTGGCCCAACCCGGGGCCCAAAACATCACAAGCCCATAACTGATGAGTACGTGGGGCGTACTCATATGTACCCTAAGGGTACAGGCTGAAGGTGGTGTACGCTGCGCATACCTGCATGTACGCCCAACGTACTCCTCTATTAAGCTACTTTCCCATTAAGTGCTTAATACTCGGGATTTCAACATCAAACTTCAGATCTAAGTCCATTAAGACGTCTTAAGGCATAAAGCTGGCAACTTTATGCCTTTGCATGCTCCATATGCTCCCAACAACCCATTAAGACCTTTCCAAAGGTCTTGATCCATGCATGAGGTTAGAATACTCATCAAGATTGCATTATTATGAAGTAGATAGACCAAAGGACCTCCGATCTACACTTCCCAAGCTCTGGAGTTGCTCAACTCCCAAGAGATAGTCCATAAGCTCATAAGAAACACCAAACAAGCCCTAATCTAGATCTCAAGCTATAAGATAACAAGGTAGAAACTTTATACCTTCTGAGACTTTCAAATGAGCTGGAGAACCTGGATCCAAAAGCTCTTCCCTGATCAATGAGACTCCAAGATGATCACTCTTTTCCAAGAACACTAAGATGCACTCCAAGATGGCCTTACAAGCTCACACTCTCACAATTAGGGTTAGGGTTTCGAAGAGGGGATTAAAGGGTGAGAAGGAGGCTGACCCTTGAGGGTGTAATGTTCTTTATATAGTGTCACACCCTAAAAATTAGGGTTTAGTGACTCTGGGCGTACGTCTCCAACACCCGCGACCATTTACTCCATCTACGTTGGGCGTACCCCAGCTTACGATGGGCGTACTCTCGAGCTGGCCACCTAGCATGCATGGGATTTGCTTGGCACTAATTTCCATTAGGGGATAAAATTGACAATAACTTCAATGTGCCATAACTCCTTCATTCTAAGTCTGTTTCCTACGATCTTTATATCCACGAAAAGGCGGCGGGAAGCCCTACGCTCCTATCCATGCCCCCAAGCCTAACACCTCCCGGATAAGACCCGAGATCCCTAAAAGACCGAATCACCCCTACCCTTTGGCTTCCGAGACCACAACCGAGTACTTTCGAAACAAGGTGTTACAACTCTCCCCCCCTTAAATTAGACTTCGTCCTCGAAGTCATGCATCACCATCCCCGACATACCAGACTACGTGAGCAACACAGCCACAAACCCGGGAATACCCCAGTCTTCCCGAGGCAATCAAAACCAACCCTCGCAGGGTTCTAGAATCTGAAGATGAACGATTTCCTTACAACCTGATCACATCCACTCCATCTGAACCTAAAGCCTCGAGATGGTATGTCTCCCTGACGGACTTCCCACATCGAATCATCCTTGAACTGACTCCACAAGAGACCGGCCTAGATAGAATACTTCCCACTCGTAATACCTTGAGGCTTCTTAAAGAACAAAAGTCACCGATCAACTGCGACCACCGAATATCCCGCAATTCTGCACATAGATTCCAACTCACTGAAGTCACTCCTTCGCCCCTTGCTGCCACATGGCTGCTTTCATGAAGAACGGTCGGGACCTTCCTGGTCCCAACTTGTCTGCCAGCTATCCGTAACGCCGGACACCTTCCCAATTGTTGGGCCAGAGACACACGCTCAGCAGTCCCATCTGACCTCCGAAGGACACCTCATCTGACATTAACTGCCCTAGTATATTGCATTTGATGCCCTTGGCATCCTTATGCTCCCGAACTCCATCTCACGGAATCAAAATCCAGTACTGAATCTGCACGAACCCCGATTCAGAGTCCTCTCTGAAACGGGTCGATACTCCGCCACTACCTCGAGATCCATTATGCATCATAATATCCGATTACCCTTACATGACCGGTAAATAGATACTCTTAGCCGATCCCCGAGATTACCAGTTTCGTACCCGGTCCAACCACCAGGTTCCAAGAGATCAAATATCAGGACCACCCAGTCGTAGCCCTCCTGAGTCACGTACCGCTTATCCACAAGATTCTGCAACTCAAGGTCCAAACCCTTGCCTCAAAAGTCTCTACCAATTCCATTCCGAATTTCCATAACCATCCGGGCTCGCCCACAGATATTCGATCGAATAATCTTCTCCAATCATGATTCCACCTCAACTGTGGATTCCCCATGGCCTTGCGAACTGGTCTACCCTGGTCTAAGTCATCAGAACGAATTCATGAATGCTATAGCTACACCCGTAGACTTAGAACACTTCTCGCACAAACATGATCACTGTCAAGCCCTATCGCTCGTCAATCAATCCGAACGCATCTCGGCGTTGAGCGCCCACACGTCTTATCCTTCCAGTTGAACTCGAATACTGACTGGAACTCTACCTAGTTCCCTCCTCTAAATCCTGCCATATGGCATCAAGAAGACACGATTCCAATGTTGGGGAGTTTCCCGAACTCCCATCCCTCGATATCCTACATTCAATCGGCCCCTAAGGTCGCCTTTCCTCCCCCAATGGGGATGTGAAACGCATCTTCGTCTCATACTCGCTTCCATCCTGGATATCTGAATGATTCTCGCCCACTTAGATTCAACTAGGTCCACTCAGCACTCGAGAATTGAAGGATTCCCCAAACCTTCTCCCGTCCCCATTGACAATCTGCTGACGTCCAGTGCCTAACAGAGCTAGAGCAACGCGAATAACCCTTCCAAACAACATGATTCCTGAGAACTAGCTAGCACTTCTCGCATCCCAACAATTCCAATAACTCTAGCTGCTCGAACTAATATCGTCCGCGTGGCACCCATCGTGCGGTCATCTGCAATCTCTACCTCGAGCGGGAACCAAGGTTCCCGACGCATCCCGGAACTTCTTGCTGAGCGCAAGTGACACGAACGATCGGGTAGCACCCGAATCAAACAAGACATGTACCGACATACCATTAACCGTAAAGGTCCTTATACAAACATAATGCCCACATAAGCCGTAAATAATAGACACGTACCAGCCACAACGTCTGGCGCTGCCTGAGCCTCCTCAGTGGTCAACTGAAATGTGCGGCTCTTCACCGCTGGAGCATCCGCCTAGGCAGGGCGGCCATCGGTAATCCTCATCGTGGCGGGTGCAGGCACCGCCACCACTCCTCCCCCTCCCTGCAATCTTGGACAGTCGACCAGCTTATGGTCGGTCTGGTTGCAGTGAAAACAAATCAAGCCCTTCGTGGGGCAGTCCCTGCTCAAGTGGCCCTGTTGGCCACATGCATAGCATCCCGTGCCTGTGATACGACAAGCTCCAACATGCACCCTACTGCACTTGGCACACCGGCCCTGACCCTGCTGACCCCTGCTGGAAG